GAAATTGTACCAATCGATGATTCACTAAGGGAAGAACACATCTTATCCTTGGAGATCAAGAACGTGACTCCTTGGTATGCAGATTACGTCAACTATTTGGTTGCCAAGGTGGTACCCCCGGAGCTAAGCTACAATGGGAAGAAAAAGTTCTTCCACGATGTTAGAGACTACTTTTGGGATGAGCCTTTCTTGTTTAAGAGAGGTAAGGACGGATTATTTCGAAGATGCATTCCGGAGGAGGAAGTGAAGCAAGTGATACATCATTGCCACGCATCGGATTACGTAGGGCATTTCGCCTCGGGCAAGACAGCTGCAAAGATCCTACAATCGGGTTTCTATTGGCCAACTTTGTTCAAGGATGTCCACGCTTTTGTAAGCTCATGCGATGCTTGTCAAAGAACGGGTAACATCTCGCGGAGAAATGAAGCGCCACAGAACTTTATATTGGAGGTGGAACCATTTGACGTCTGGGGAATAGATTTTATGGGACCGTTTCCATCATCTTGCGGTAACCTATACATTCTTGTGGCAGTGGACTATGTGACGAAACGGGTGGAGGTACTTGCTAGTCCGAAGAATGATTCAAGCACTGTGTCACGGATGTTCAAAAGAGTCATATTTCCTCGGTTTGGAGTCCCAAGAGTGGTGATAAGTGATGGAGGGGCACACTTTGTTAATAGAGTGATTCAGGGCATATTGACTAAATATGGTGTTCACCATAGAGTAACCACTCCCTACCATCCTCAAACGAGCGGTCAAGTGGAAGTCTCTAACCGGGAGATCAAACAAATTTTGGAGAAAACAGTGGCCAAGTCAAGAAAGGACTGGGCTTTGAAGCTTGAGGACGCGGTTTGGGCCTATAGAACGGCGTTCAAGACGCCTATCGGGATGACTCCATTTCAACTAGTGTATGGGAAAGCTTGCCACCTACCGGTTGAGTTGGAGCATAAGGCATATTGGGCGATTAAGGCGTTGAATTACGACTGGAAAACCGCAGCAGAAAAACGAGTGCTAGAGCTCCACCACTTGGAGGAAATTCGCTTGGACGCATATGAAAACGCGCGAATTTACAAGGAGCGAGCCAAGAAGTGGCACGACCGGCACATCCTCAATCGAAACTTCCAACAAGGTGACCTCGTTCTTTTATTTAATTCTCGACTAAAACTTTTTCCAGGAAAACTGAAATCGAGATGGTCGGGACCGTTCATCATAAAGAACGTCACCCCTCATGGAGCGGTGGAACTCGACAACGGAAAAGGCGGAACTTTCATGGTCAACACTCAAAGACTCAAGCCATACAATCCAGGGAGTATTAGACCAGAAGGAGGTACCTCTGTACTCTCCCTCTCTTTAATCGATTGAACCGCATTTCGGTCTAGCTACGACCTTAACTAGCAACCCGGTTCATACCGGGATGTACATTCTTCACCTTCTTTGTTCCTTTTCTCTTTTCTTAATCAAACCTCCAAAATCCCCTCGTAACAACCTCTTTGATCAAATACAACACGAGCGCGAGGAAAAATCCGGGTCTGGAAAGGTTTTAGGGGCTAAATTTAGATTTATCTAAAAAGTTGAATGGATTGTCGAGTGAGGTAGAAATAGCTGATCCAATCCTAGAGCGAATGAATGTCACGTGGGATGATTTTGTCTCCTAAAGTCTAGATGGGGTAGAGGTTACGAACCAAGCACGAAACGTCTCCCTAAAAACCACCATTTGACCTCTAAGTTAGGAAGCCTATAGGAAGCAACAAGCCCTAGGAAACACGATGCATCCCGACACTCCTCTGTCATCATCTCGTTAATGAAAATCATTCGGGGACACGAGTGCGTCGAAAATGAAGGCTCGGGTCTAAGTTGTGGGACAAGAACACAAAAAACAAAGAAAAAAAAAGAGAGTGAACTCGTCAAATTCCAACGTCCTAGAAGCCCGAGATTGCATCATATGAAAAAAAAAGGAGAGAAAGGGAAAGAAAGAAAAAGAAGAAGAAAACAAAAATCCGAATAAAAAGTAAAGATATGGGGCAACAGAAAATATTTTATAGGCTAAATGACTTTTAGGGTTCTCATTTGGGATGTGTTTAGGAGACATGCTTGACAAGTAGGAACTATTTCATCCTAGACCGCAGGAAGCAATGAAAATCCCATTGATAAGATTTCGCTCGAGTATTGGAAAAGATAGAGTATACCAAACCCGATTTCATTCGCAGCGACTTTAACCCGTACAACCAATCTACTCAAAACCCCCATTTGTTCTCCGACTGTATCTTATCACTCCTTGGATAGTTTTATAATTGCACATTTACTCGAGGACGAGCAAACCTCAAGTCTGGGGAGATTTGATCACACGGATTTTTCACCGGTTTTATAACGTCGTGCATCACAATTCTTCTCACATTCTAGGCATCATAAGACGTTAGATGGCCATGGGTAGGTTGTTTTGCTTGTTTTTCCTTGCAGGAAGACTCCACGATGAATCCTCACGAAGCGGGCACGGAAGAACAAGAATTCGAGAATGCTCGGGTCGCTCATTTTTTGAGCGGTCGCTCATTTTATGAGCGGTCGCTTGTTTTTTCGCGTGTCAGAGGAAAATGAGCGACCCGCCCGAAAAATGAGCGACCGGAAGAAAAATGAGCGACCCGCTTGAAAAATGAGCGACCGCCTGAAATCAAAATCGGCCCAAAAAGGAAAAGCCCGTGTTTTGAG